TTGAGTAGGATCATAGGTCTCAATGCAGCTGGGGAGACCATCTAGATCAGCATCCTGCTTGTTAGTAACTGAGTTTAAACTCTGCTTGGATAAGAAACTATCTTCTTTCGGAAGACTACATTGGAATATGACAGCATAGCTGGTATTGAAGTAACCCTCTTGCTGAAAAAAGAAAAAGAAGTATGAAAGTTTATTAATATATATAATACAACAGTGTAGAGGCATTGACGAGCAGCTAATGCAGGCAGTACGCGAGGGACCAGAGTCCCTGGGAGAAAGGAAGCACCCTGAGGTGAGCAGCGTTTGCACTCAGTCTTTTCCCTGAGGGCACATTCTGATTCACAGTACGCGGTGTATAGTCAGCAGGAAGCAGTAGTCCCATAGGGCTGAGTGCTGGACTTAGGGCTTCTGAAAGTGTGGGCTCTAAGGACAGAATCCCAGGGAAAAGATGGCTACAGGGAAGTAAGCAAAATATGGGCATGCAATCTTCCCTTGAGGTGTTTGCCATCTTCCAAGGTGCACACGATCAGAGCAAGACTCCAAGAACCTCTGCAGAAAGAAGCATCTGGGAGCCTAGTAAGCCTGTAAACATTCCAGCAACCATATATAGTACAGACAGGATAAAGGTTGTGTTCAGGCCTGCCAGGATGAAGGGGTCCTGGTAATTAACCTGGGCCTTAACTGAAAGTTCCAAAGGGCCATACCTTTAGAATAAAAAAAGCTGCAAAAAGTTACCCTTACCAAAGTTTAAAACCAGCCCTGGCTGGTTTTGCTCAGTGGTTAGAGCATCAGCCTGCGGTCCCAAGAGACCTGGGTTCGGTTCCTGCTAAGGGCACATACCTTGGTTGCAGTTTGTCCCCGGCCCTGGTTGGTTGTGCAGGTGGCAGCCACTCGATGTGTCCCTTCACGTCGATGTTTCTCTCTCTCTCTCTCTCTCTCTCTGTTCCTCTCTCTCCCTCCCACTTTACCTGAACAATGAATGGAAAAATGTCCTCGAGTGAGGATAAAAAAAAAAATTTAAAACCAACCACTAACTGGATTAAAATGGGCTGGCTGCATTCACTGTGCCTGACAGAGACTATATTACACTCTTAGGAGGAATATAATCTGAATCATCCAAAACCTCTACAATTTTAATATAGAATGTCTGGCAAATGAAAAATTAAGAGGCATGATAGAATTTGAAACCAAATAACGAAAATGAAGAGAAAAAAACAGATAGTAGAAAGAGACCTACAGGTGATTCAGATATTGAAGTTATCTGTCAGAAACTATGTTCAATAAAAAAGAAGAAAAGAAGGAGAATTTTAACAAAGATAAGAAATCTACTTTAAAAATAGTAAAATGGAAGTGCTGGTACTGAAAAATGTAAGGACTGGAATTAAGAATTCAAACATGAATTTTATAGGAATTTAGACATACATGAAAAGTAGAGAGGATTATTGGACCATGAGAAAATTGGTAGAAAATATCCAGATTGGAGCACAGAGAGAAAAAATACAGAAAAGAAAATAAGAGGCATGGGATATAGTGAAAACATTTTATATATGTTTGTTTGGAGCCCGAGAAGATGACAAAAGTGATAGAACCAGTATTTAAAGAAATATTGGATGAGATTTTTCTAAAAATGATGAAAGACATCAACCACAAGTTGCAGAAGCTCTGCACTCCTTAGTAGGATAAATGCAAAGACCATACCTGGGCATGCCATGTTGCACTGTTGTAAGCCAAAGACAGAGAAAGCTGAAATGCAGTCAGAATTGAAAGGCATGTTATTTTCAAAGGAGCACCAGTAAGTCCAACACTTTTGATGTATTAGCAAAAATTGGATGAGACCAGAAGACAATGAAATTGTATTTAGAATGTACTGGGGGGGGGGGCAGATTGCTTGCCTGAAAATCTCTGTCAAGCAAAGATATGCTTCTAGAACAAACGTGGGGGGAAAAGAAACTTTCAAACAAACAAAATTTGAGAGAATTTTCTGTCCGCTGACCTGCAGCAAAATCAACAAGTTCTTCAGGCAGCAGAAAGATAATTTGAGATGGAAGCTCAGATGTGCATGAAGAAATGAAGCCTATCAGAAAGGGAAAACATATGATGAATATAAATGAAAATTTACTTTTAAAATCAATGATAATGATTTCTTATGCAATTGAAAATACGTAGAAGAAAAATATTTGACACTGATAGCACAACAGATGGGAGAGGATACACAAGTGTTCTTATATTGTTTGGTAAATTGTAAAATTACTAATTTGAAGTTTAATATCATAAATCAGTGATGCTTATTTAATTGCTAAGATAGCAACTAAAAGAATAAAAGAAGCCCTGGCTGGTTTGGCCTAGCAGTAGAGCTTCGGCCTGTGGACCAATGAGTTGAGGGTTCGATTGCGGCCAAGGGCACGTACCTCTGTTGCAGTTTGTACCAGGCCCTGGTCAGGTCGTGCAGGAGGCAGTCAGTCAAATGTGTCCCTTTCACATCAGTGTTTCTGTCTCTCTCCCTTTCTCTGCCTCCCACTCTATCTGAAGATAAATAGAAAAATATCCTCGTGAGGATTAAAAAAAATTAAAAAATGCCCTGGCCGGTTTGGCTCAGCGGTTAGAGCGTCGGCCTGCGGTCCGGAGAGACCCGGGTTCGGTTCCCGCTAAGGGCATGTACTTCGGTTGCAGTTTGTCCCCGGCCCTGGTTGGTCGTGCGGGTGGCAGCCACTCGATGTGTCCCTTCACATCGATGTTTCTGTCTCTCTCTCCCTCCCACTCTATCTGTACAAAAAATGGAAAAATATCCTCGGGTGAGGATTAAAAAAAATAATAATAATAAATAAATAAATAAATAAATAAATAAATAAATAAATAAATAAATAAAAGAAGGCTCAAAAAGCCAGCAATCTAATGAAGAAGAAAAACATAGAATAATAATTAAATTTGTTTTATCAATTGTAAAGGTAAGAAAGGAGAAGTAAAGTAACAAAGAACTGATGAAACAAACAGAATGATCACTTACTTAAACTCAGCCATATCTGTAATCACATCAGGTATAAATGGGACTATATGTACAATTGGAAGCCAAAGATTTTTGGATGGAATAAAATGTTAAAATCCATTTATATTCTTTTTACAAGAGACAATCTTGAAACAAGCCTTGAGAAAACAAATTTGAAAGTAAGAACTAATAATCAATTTACTTGACAGTTATAGAACATTATATTCATTGACTACAGAATACACTTTTTATAGATTTACAAAAATAAACAAAATACTTAGTTCATAAGTCAAGTTTAAATAAATTACAGATATTGAAAGAACACCTATATTCTCTGACCACAGTGCAATCAAAATAGAAATCATTGACAGATAAATAGAAGATCCCAAAATGTTTGGAAATTAAACAATGTACTTCTAAAACGACTCATGGGCCCTGGCCGGTTTGGCTCAGCGGCTAGAGCGTCCACCTACGGTCCGGAGAGGCCCGGGTTCGGTTCCCGCTAAGGGCATGTACCTTGGTTGCAGTTTGTCCCCGGCCCTGGTTGGTTGTGTGGGTGGCAACCACTCAATGTGTCCCTTCACATCGATGTTTCCCTCTCTCTCTCTTCCTCTCTCTCCCTCCCACTCTGACTGTACAAAAAATGGAAAAATGTCCTCGGATGAGGATTAAAAAAATAAATAAATAAATAAAACGACTCATGGTCAAGGAGAACATCACGATGGAAATTAGACAATTGTAACCTAAATTATAATGAAAGTGACATATAAATGTATGGTATACACTTAAAATAGTGCACAGAGGTAAATTGATAGCTTTAAATTTACATATTAGAAACAAAGATTGAAGTCAGTTATCTAAACTTCAGGCTCAAGAAAACTAAACACAAGATGAACTAAAGTCCTCCAAAACAGAAGAAAGGAAATAATAAAAATAAGAACAGAAAGGAACAAAATAGAAAAGAAAATGTATAATAAAAAAAATCAGCAAAACCAAAAGTTTTTTTGAAAAGATTATTAAAATTGATAAACCTTTAGTAAGACTAATCACATGCAAAGAGAAAACACATCAATATCAGGAATAAAAAGCATATTACTACAGATTGTACAGTCATTAAACAGGCTAGCACACATTTTCAGTCTAATAAATTTAACAACTTAGGTGAAATGAACATAGACTTTGAAACATACTGCTTACAAAACTGACACACACATGAAGATACCCACAATCTTATGCCTATGAAAGAAAATTAATACATGATTTAAAACCTCTACACACCAAGGAACACCTACCCCAGATGGCTTTTTGATGAATTCCTCTAAGACTTTCAAGGAAGAAATAATGCTAATCTTGCATAAAATTTCACAAGGAATAGAAAAAGAAGGAATACTTTTCAACTTATTCTATGAGGCCAGCATAGCCTTAATACCAAAATCTGATTTAAATACAAGGGTTGAGCAAAAGGAGTCAGACAGAAAAGAGTAAATATTGTTTGATTCCATTTATATGAAATCCAGTAGTAGACACGGTAGAAATCAAAATAATGATTCACCCTAAGAGGGGTGAGGTCGTGACTGGGACACAGCAGAAGGGAATCTTCTGAGATGCTGGAATATTCTCTGTCTCTGTCTGGGTAATAGTTATATGTATGTACATATATAAAAATTCAGTGAGCTGTGCACTTAATCTGTGAACTTTATGTATGTTATATCTTTAAAAAGACTATAAACTTGCTCTGGTATAATAACCATGATATTTTCATCATCACATTATTTCTCTCATATCTAAATTGAATCCAGTGTTCGCCTCCCTTGCTCATGTTCTGTTTTAACTGCATTTGGTAAATGCACACTTCTGATGGAGCTGCTGTGAACAGCAGGGAGCATTTGCCACAGGCTCCCCCACTTTGGGGAATACAGAAATTTCCCAGACCCAGCTTTGGGTGTGATAGAGCATCTAGTTCTTCTGCTCTGTCACACTTGTTCGCTCACTTAATACAGTGTTGTTTTCTTTGCAGGCACGGTGGTTCTGGGAAGCATACTTCCAGTCAATTAAAGCCATTGCCCTCGCCACCCTGCAGATTATCAATGACCGGATCTACCCATATGCTGCCATCTCCTATGAAGAATGGAATGACCCTCCAACCGTGGTAAGTGAATTCCAGCGCTAGCCACATCAGGCACTGTCCAGCTGTTGGGATGGGACAAAGGAAAATGTACCGAATTTGTAAAGGTTATTTAAATTCTAGCTTTCTAAGATGAAAGTGTGCTGTTATACTTGGGGTCTGGTGAGGCCGGCTTAATTTTGAAATGATGACAAAAGAAATAAAAAAGCAACAGCTTCTAGTTTGTTTTAAATGTGCTTAGGAAGACAGTGTGTTTATTTATTGCAGAGATCAATGGGAGGCTTGGGTCTTGTTGGAAATAACGACTTCCTGATGACTTTGGTAGTTGCAGTGCTTAGAATTCTTGAAAAGATTCTGTGAGATACTTAGTAAAAATAGTTTATATTTTAAGTGCTTGCTCTCTGTCACGGATTATGTTAAGTGCTTTACATGGGTTGTTTCAGTTAACATTTCTAACACACTGTGAGGAAAATAGTCCTCAAAAGTGGTCTTGAGGCATCAGGGATTGCCAGTCACTGGCTTAGGCCCCTGGGTATTTCTAGCAGAGAGGGGAGGTGGTCAGAAGCTGTTCTTAGGGCTTCTTTTTTGCTCGAAGGGGTCCCAAGGCCCTAGTGGCATTGTTGGGGTTGTGGAGTCGCTACACCTTCTCTGTTATCAAATATGCCAAAGCTCTGGGGCTGGCAGTTACTGCTTCCTGGCTGCTTTGGAGCACACCTGGCTGCCTGGCTCACAAACCCCAAGGCTTTCATGAAGATAACTAGACTCCATTCATCATCCTAATCACTGCTCTCTCTGGCCACCCTCCTCGTCTCCTGATCCTACCTTCTCCATAGTGCTGTGTACTGCTACCTGGTTAATCTTCACTTGGGACTCTCCTTCCCTCCATCCCTGGTCCCCTCTCTCCCTTCAATCTTTATTGAGCAGTTACTGTGTGTCAGGCACTGAGAATAGAGAAAAAGGAGCCAATCCCTGCCCTCCGAGGAGCTCTCCACTAGCTTGGGAAGCCAGCGAGTGAGCGAGACGCGCTCTGACAGAGAGGTGTGCAGAATGCTGTGGGAGCACAGGTGCAGGCGGCCTCCTCGCTGGGTGGGGGCTGCACCTTCCTGAAGTGGGGTGCCTGGAGAGGAAGGGTACATGCATGGTTTAGGATAAAACCGAACAAAACAAAACCTTTCTGTTGTGCTTGAGGTCAAGTTTACTTCTGTTCATCTCCTCCCTTGAATCCATTACCAAAGGTAACCCTCCGGAATGTTTCTATTCTCATATAAACATAATTATATAACTTTAGAACACTGATGGGATCATACAACACATGTTGTTCTGCACCTTGTTTTTTTTACTTTATAATAGATTATTGATTTATTTCTATTTCCTTCTGTATAGTATGCAGTGGCCAGCCATATCCGCTGGTTTCAATTCTCTGAGTTTTTACATTTGTGGATTCAATCAACCGCAGAGCGAAAATATCTTTTAAAAATCCCAGAAAGTTTCAAAAAGCAAAACTTGAATTGGCCACATGCTGAGCACTATACTAAATCCATGGTAATGAAGTGATATGTAAGCATACCCTGCCATCACCTATATGCAAATATTGATTCTATGAAAACAATATGCCATTTAATATAAGGGGCTGGAGCAGCAGCAGATTTTGCCCTACCCCCCACGGATTTGGGGTGTCCTGGAATCAATCTCCTGCTATACCAGGGAATGACTGTACTTCATTTTAAAGGATGACTGTAGAGTATTTCATTTAGGTGTATCCTACATAACAGATCTAATATTAAGAGATTTAAATTGCTTTTCCCCCTATTTTCAAACAGTAATACAATAAATGTTTGCACATAAATGTGTGAATATATTTATGGAATTAATTTCAGCTTAGAAATTGCTTAAAGAATGTACACATTTTGATGTTGGTAGATATTAAGAAATTGTCCTTTTTCAAGTAGAAGGTTGATATTTCTGTCAGTTTTCCCCAGAATATGCATATAAATCCAATTTGTAGTTTGATTTGTCACATTGCATTTTTAGATGGTTTTAGGCATTCTGTAGGTATTTCTTGAGTGCCTGCTGTGTGCAGACAGTGTTCCTGGCACTTGAATTGTATTAGTGAACAAAGCAGAGCAAGATCTATGCCTTTGGGGAGTTTACATTGCAGTGGATATTGCTATCTGGAAGCAAGATTTGTCTTTGTAGTAGAATTTTTATGTTTTCCTTATATAGGTTGTTCATAAACCCTGAAAAATTTTTTTAGGTATTATATCTTTCTTATGCTCTTATAAACAAAAACTTTCTGACATTGTACTGCCAGTTTCTTACTGGTTACCATTTGTATAAAGATACCTTTTTGGCTTTTGTATATAAATTATATATTCTTTTACTGAATTCTACAGTTGTTTCATTTTTTTTTTAGTTGATTCTCTTAGTTTTCTAGATATATAATTATATTTACAAATGCTAATTTTGCTTCCATTTTCTAACATTTGACCCTTCTACTTTTAATCCAATTTCATTGGCTAGCACTTCTAGAACAGTGTTAAATAATAATCTGAGTGTTAAAGAGAAGGATAGGTCTTATCTAGTCAGAGGAAGAGGGAAAGTTAAGTTTTATCCAGAAGGAACAGCGAATTCAGAGGTGCAGAGGGGACAAGAGAGCAAGTTTAAGGAACTTCAAGGTCAGTGTGGTGGAGGTGAAGGAGGCTTGTGAGGAAGAGGCAGAGGATGAAGCCTGGAGAGGGCCCAGATCACCAAATACCTTCTATCTTATGGAAGGCATTCGAGTGTTATCTGAGTAACAGGAAGTGACTGAAACATTTAAGCAGGGGAGTAATGTGGTGAGATTGCATTTTGGAGCTATCTGACATCAGTGTGGAAAATGGATCAATTGCAGTGTGGCAATACTGGAGATAGGAGACTATTTCGGGAATCCTGGTGAAACTTTAAATAGAAGATAAATTTAAGCAACGTCTGGGAGAATTGACTGTTTGAACTGGCAAATGGGGGAGTTCAGGAAAATTGAGGCATATGATGTAGTTTATCTAGATTGAGAAGGTAGGCACATGGGGGTCCTGGGTGAAGATGGTACTGGAGTCCAAACTCAGTCTGTTGGCAGGGCCTTCCACAGTCTGGCTCCAGTCTGTCTTTTTAGCTTTATTTCCTTCTGTTCCCTTTAAGGGAATTCTAGATTTCTGGCAACACAGCTTTGTTCTTCCTGTGAATACTGTATGCTTTTCTTTCTCTGTGTCTTTGACTGTTGGTCCTTTCACTGAGATGCCTTTCATCACTATCACCTTTAATTGTCCACATTTGATCCAAATTTCAGTGGCCTGCTCATATACTCCTTCATCCATGAGGTTTTCCCGGACTCTAAGCAGGAAGTAATCTTTCCTTCTCGTAACTCTTGGAGCATATTATCTGTATTTCTTTCCTATCTCTTAGCATGCATAGAGGTATAATTCCCGGTAAAGTTTTAAGCATTTTAGGGGAATTTCTGAGTTATCTTGGTATTCCTCACAATATCTGGGACAATTTAGTTTAGACAGGCGGCCCTTGATACGTAAAGAAGGGGAGGAGGAAGATTGGGATCCTAGGACTTGAGCCATCCAAGCTTCACTCACATACTGATGTGACATCATTATTTTATTTGACCTTCACCTGTTGGGAATGTGGGGAAAGTGATAAATTCTTATTCATATAAAGCTGACATAATGAGACTCATGGTGGCTTATGACTTATCTGAGGTCATAGAATTGGCAAGTTGTGTAAACAAGTGAGAACCTAGGTTATTTTGAATTCCTTATGGAATTTTATGGGAGCCATTGAGCCTCCACTGGGCTGAAGCATTGCTACTATTTTAAGCATGTGGTATAAGCTTGAGACAAAGAATATCACATCTGTTTGAGAATTCATGCATACATGAGAATTCATACGGGTGGGATGGTCATGACCCAGCCAGAAGGGGTGGAAACAGTGGGACTTTATTCTCTACTTTATTCTAAAGTTATAAGAAAAGTTTAATGAGAATAAATGAAATTTTGGTTCTCTGTCTTTCATAAGAATATAGACCAGAAGAAAACAGTACATGAAATTTTACAGTTATAGATGTGTTTTAATTTAGGACAAAATAGTCAAATTTGGGAAAGAACATAAATGTAAAAAACATAAATCCTGATATGTAATTGGAAAATGTATTCTACATTTTTTTTGTTTAACTCTTTCTTAAATAGTCCTTTTCATGGAAATGTAGTGTTTATCATATTTCTAGGTGCTCAGGTGATGAGAGCCCTGATTTAAAGCCATGGGTTTTACATCCTGCATCTTCCGTGAAAGCATCTGGCCTGAGTAGTGATGATTTATTTATAGTTAACTTTGCCCCTCCCCTTCAGAAATACTTAACCCACTCTAGATATGATTACTAGGAACCCAACTTGCAGGGGAGTCTTCCCTCTAGATTCCATCAAATTTACAATATCAGAGACCTTGAGGTGGGAGTTGGTGTGGATCTTGGTCAGTAAATCAGGGAATGGTCTGGTTTTTAAACATGTGCTATCAGAGCCTACAGCAAGCTCTGAGCTTGCTCAGACTGGAGAGGAAGGCGTGAGAGTAGAGCCCTGTTTTGGCCAGATGCTGCTGCCTTAGACTAACGTTAAACAAACCAACCAACCTGTGGTGTGGGTTATGAAGACAGTGAGGGTGGCATTGCAGAAACCACATGTGCGTGTTACCAGACACCCTGCCATTCTTGCTTCTAACCAGATGGAGAGGACTGCACTAAGTGTATTGTGCCATGCTCTCAAAACTTGAAAAAGTCTGATGAAATAATTCTTGAGCATAACTTTAAAGTAGCAACTCTGTCTGGTTTGGAGACATTGGCCCTTTGCTTTGAATCTTTGGAAGGAATTTCTCACCAAGTTAAGGTTCTTTATGAGGGCACATAATGTTTTTAGCATTAATTTTCTTAGCTCCTCATGTCAAGGCTGCCTGTATTTTACTACCTTTTCAGTCTTTCCCTGCTTTCATTTTTC